ACACTGGGCCGAGAACCGAAGGCACCTTCCAGTTTCTCTGTGGGGAAGGGCTGGGTAAGCTGCTTTCCAAAACCACCCAGCCAAGAAAACCCGGGGGCTGTTCTGCTCTGTCGTGTGGGCTTGCTGGGAGAGGGTGTCACCTGGACAGCACCGAACCGCAGCCCTTGGACACACTGCCCTGACTTCCTCCCACAGACTCAGAGAGGCTCCATCGATAACCCGGGGGAAGGAATGAAGCAGCTAACCTAACCCTGTGCTACCAGGAGAAGGCCCTTCCCAGGGCCCTTCCTGACCCCAGGACAGTCAGAAAGCTGGTTGCTGCAGTCCTCTTGGAGCTGGGCACCCACTGAAAGTGGGCTGCCACGGTTTTTCACACTAAGGTGTTAACGATGCAACAGCCCACCCCTCACAATGGGTGTCTACCTTTTCAAAGGGAACCTGCAGGAAGGAAATATAATGTAGCACTACAGCAGGAAATTAGGGGTTACAGCAGTTCAGAAAACCAAACTAGTAGTCCATTGACCTGACTGAATCACAACCTCCTCTTTCTCCCACCAAGCTTCTGGGCTGGTGGACTTGAACCATTGACCTAGGGGCCAGTAGACCAATGCTTACCCAACAGCACTATCAGGCTCCTCAGAGGAGGCAATCTATTTACTGTGAGGTCTTCCTTGGCTTTTCAGTCACGCCAAAGGGAGCAAACCCAAAATGGTCTTTGGCAAAAAAAACATGCTAAATTCCAACTTCTTCTAAGCTTGGTTCAGAGTCTTCAGGGAGCCAGGGGTCTTTGTGTTGCTTATTGGGTCCTCCCTGTTGTGGAGCTGTGGGTCAGTTGGCCTTCTTTGAAGTCCATTGTCAAGTTCAGAAAAAAGGCTCAGGTGTTCACCAAAACATTCATGAGGGAGGGGGGAGTGGAAAATGAGCAACTGATATTAGGGGCTAGAGTGGGAGGCAAATGTTTTGAGAATGATGAGGGCAACAAATGTACATATGTGCTTGACGCAATGGATGGATGTATGGATTGTGATGAGAATTGAACGAGCCCCCAATAAAATAATTTTTAAAAAACCATAGACATTAACAAGAGTAGAGCATGACTCACAGTGGGTGATTCAATCCAACTTTATGTAGAGGTTGAGAACATCTGTTTAACTTCATTTCGTTGGCTTGCCTCACTCAGCCAAAGGATTTTCCCCTCGGGCTTCTTTAAAAAAAAAAAAAAAAAAAGCCTGCCTTGCAATTTAAAGATGTGATCACCAGGGGGTGGGAGTGAGCCGCAGCTGTGCGTTCGTAACCGCAGGCAGAGAAGGTAGAACTGCGAGCCAAGTAGGGGACTTGGCATCAAATCACATTAAATATTAGGAAAGCTACATCTTTCTCTTTCAGCCACATTCAATCTGGAGTTCATCGAAAGGTGTCTCTTTGCGAATCCCCAGCTAAAAAAGGGCCTGGGTTGTTACCCAGAGCACACTTGCTGACAGTTTCCTCCCCCATCTGTCTGCTCCGAGGAAGTGAAAGCAACTGTACTAGAAAGTGCAAAAAGCTCAGGACCCTCCTCTTGGAACGGGCTCACGCCTGCCTCCGGCAATTCCATCTCCAGAGTGTTCAGTGCACTCGGCTGTTGACCTTTGAGAAGAGAGGCCTCACAGTCCACTTTGGAAAACTCAGCCACTGAAAAGTCAGTGGGGTACAGTCTCCCCTGACACACTTGGGGTCTCCGTGGGCTGGACTTGGGTAGCAGACAACTAGCTAGCATCTGCCACTTCTGCCTCTTGTCACAGGCATGCCCCGAGCCTCTCATTACATTCCTAAGGAGCGCCTAGCCTGCTTTGGGCAAACCTTTAGGCACTAACAGGTGGGCAAAGGCGTGGAGAAACACGTCCAGGTAGAAGGTACTGTGGAGGCTGATGGGAGAAGTTGACTAGTACATCCGCCTGGGAGCCTTTTTCCCTAGGACCCCAGTGAGCCGCTATATTCCAGCTCTCTGTGCCCCTCATCTGTTTCCTGTCTTCAAGCGCAAATGTCCCCATGTCCCCACCGTGCTTCTGCACTTCAGAACTCCTGCACTCTCAGGCCAGCTGTCATCTCTGGGTGAGTCATTCTTTCTAGGGTGGCAGTTCCCAGGATATGATGGGCCCCAAGTCCCTGGCCGGAGGAATCCGTGAAAACCTCCCTGTCTGTGTCTGGGTTTTCTTCATCGAGGCCAACAGAAACAGCAGTTCACAGCACTGGGACTGCAGGAACAGGTAGGAGAATGCAGCTATCTTCTCTTAAGTACGCCATCAAAGTGATTCATGAGATGTGTGAACGGATGCTACGCTTCTTACTAATTTTTGTTGGAAATACCGTCTTGTAAACTCTATTCATGTGGAATGAGTTTGCCACATCATTTAAAAACAGACTGCTAAATATGGTCGAGGGTCTCAGACCCAATTTCTAAGATAACAATGTAGTCTGATTGCTGGATGAGATCCACGTGGACAGTAGCCCTTTGGCACCCTCACTAATCGCTAGGGGTGGCTGCCACGATGGGCTCACACAGCAAGCTCTGTGAGGACGCACAGGAGCAGGTGCGTGCCATTCCGCGGTACGTAGGGTAGCTGTGCGTCGGAACGCCCTCTACAGTACGTAACAACAACAGCAAAGGAATTCTGGCACCAGCGCATTTGAGAAGCACGGCTCGACCTATGGGAGAGCCTGGGTGGCACAAGTAGTTTGTGTTCAACTGCTATCCTAACGGTGGCTGTGAGATCCCACCCAGGGGTACCCTTCGGTGGCCTGGTGCTCTGCTTTGGTAAAGATTAGAGCTGAGAAAAGTCGATGGAGTAGTGCTCCTCTAGAGCGCTCAGGGTTGCTATGAGATGGAATAGGCTTCATGGGCACTAACCATGGAAACAACCCCAGACCTAGCATCGCATTCAAATCCACACCTCAATGTACCTTCGCGCCTTACCTCACCTTGAGGAAAGCATGTTCACCAGCGCCGATTACCCTTCCTCCGTTCCTCCTCCTGACACCTGACACCCTACTTTCTAGCATCCTCATTCTCTCCACACCCCAAGCTCAAAATCCTGATCTTTTCTATACCTCAACCCACCCACCACCCACCCTTTTTCCACCACCCCCCAGTCCCTCTCCCCCAGTGACTTTTACTCAGAATGTCTCTAGAATTCAGCTCTTCCGTTACCAAGCCTCTTGTCTGAGATCTTGGCCATGCTGCCCCCGCTTGCTAGAAAGTCCATCATGAGGCCAGGCAACATCAGTCAGTCTCTTGTTCAAGAACCAGCAATGGCTTCCATCGCCTACAGGATGAATCCCGGGGTGATTAGCCCACCGCTGTCGTTTGACTCTGACCTTCCAGGACAGAGAAGAACTGAATGCCCGTAGGGTTTCCAAGGCTCTCGTCTTCACGAAGACTGAAGAAGAGTCAATGCATTTGAATTGGGGTGTCCACAAAGAGCAGGCCATGGACGGCCAGAGAAGGAACATAGAAGGAGCCTCGAGCGAGAATGCGCCTTAGAGGGAGGAGGTGAGACTTCAGTGTACATATCGTAGGCATGTTCTCAGGAGGAGTCGCGGCTGGAGAAGCATCATGCTTGAGAAAGTAGAGGGTCAGGGGAAAAGTGGAAGACCCTCCAAGAGGTGGATTGCCACAATGGCCATGACAAGGGTCTCAAAGAAGTCAACCATTCTGAGGCCGCCGCAAGAGGCCGCAGTGTTGGGTTCTGTTGTCCCTGGAGTTGCCAAGAGTAGCAACCAGCTTGATGGCACCCGCCATGAGGAACAGCTGGTTCAAACTGGAGGCCTTTGGGGGAGCAGATAAGTGCTTAACCACTGCACCACCAAGGCTCCTATCCAGAGATGTCTGAGTTCCATTCCATTAAGAGCACTTTTCCAGCCGCCGTCCCTTATGTGGTCTGTTATAATTCTGCATTTACATGTCTGGCTGTCCCATTTTTGGAGGGCACTATCTGCTAGTCAACAGGAATAGGATGAGATGAACAGCTGACCTCAGTAAAGGGTGTGAATGAGACCATGCTGCTGTTACTGGTTATCCTGGGACTGGGTGTGAGGAATGATACACTACAGCTGAGGGGAGGAAAAAGCTGTGTCCGGAGTGGCCTTGGGTAAAGCCTGACTGATTAGCATGAGTAGAAAGCCAATGCCCACTGGAGGCCTGGGTCACAGGTGCCGAGAAAAGATACAGGCCAGGGGTGGAGAACAGAAGATTACATTTGGGTGATTACACCACCACGTAACTTTCACCAAACAATACCTTTCCCTGCAGGGGTCTGGTAAGAAGGTGGAGGAAGAGGCAATAGGATTGGCCTGTGACTAATTGTGAACATGATTCCCCTTCAATGGCCTCCTGCTGCACCTGAAATGAGCCCACTGAGAAGCAGGGGTGTGGTCTCTTCCCCGGGAAGAGCCAGGAGTATGCTGCGTCCTCTGGCCCCAGCATCTGGTTTACCTCCTACCTGACCTCCTGACTTTGAACTGAACAGCACCCATCACCACGTGAGACACTTACTCCCACCTTTGAGAGTTATAGACACTGCAGCACCTCGCAGAACTCAGAAACGTGGAGGGAAATACGCAGGAGAGGAGTGGGGGTGGGAGGGGACTGGAGAAGACGAGTAGGTTGCATGAGTTGGGCTCTTAGGACTTTTTCAATCTCCAACTCCTTGGGACACGTGTGGTATTAATTCTTCCAAAAGAAACGATTACCATGTCAGTCCTCCATCCTGGGAGCTTTCCAGCAGTGTCCCAGCTGTTATCTGTGCGTGCCTCCTCTTCAAACCCGAAGGAAAACCAAGCCACACTCACTGCCCTGAGTCCATTCTGATTCACAGCGACTCTACAGGACAGGGGAGAACTGAACTCCTGACTTTGCAGTTAGCAGCCAACGTGTAACCACTTCAACCCGCCCGCTCCCTGAAGGGGAAAGAAGGGTGGTCCTGAGGGGTCCTTATGAGGGATGAAGGCATAGAGGGGGAGGAGCGGGTTGCATTGTCCCACATGGCAAATAATCCTGTATTGGTTTTAGCTCTCCCACAACAGGCCTTTGCCGGATATTGTGGCTGCGAATCTTTGCAGATGTACTACCCACAGACGTAGGTAACGTCAGAGTTTACCCTCTCTTCTCTCTTCTCCCTCGATTGGCCTCGGCCCTCAGTGCCGTGCGTGCGGTGGGGAGGGCGCACTCTGCTTGGCTTTGGTCGTTCTTACTCTGATTGCCGCTGCCATGTGCAGGGGCCTCATTGTGGTCTCCAGTGCCACCTGGGAAAGTCCTCTGCCGCCTTTGCTTCCAGAAAGTTCCCCGTACTGACCAAGCCCCCACCGGATTGCTCCTCTGCCAATGAGGAGTTACCAATGGTTTGCTGCCAAAAATAACAACCACCAAGACCTAACTCCCATCTGGCCTGCAGTTCCAATCTAACGCCGGGGACCGCCATGCCTGCACGTCACCCGACAGATGCCGGTAGAAGAGCCTGCAGAAGGGCTGCCTGGACCCTGACGTGAGGCCACTGCTGAGTCTTCCCCAGCAGCAGGGCCCTTGGGAAGACCACCGCAGTCTCCTAAAAACAGGTGAGTAAGGAGCAGCAGCAGCCCGGCCACTTGGCCTAGAGAAGCAGAGGTAGAGACTGGAATTGGGGAGGAGGCCAGAGGAAGGCGGTTCAGACTCCTCGGGAGGACAAAGGCCCGTCCTGATGGATGCTGCCTCACAAAGACCTGCTGTATGACCAGACTATCACCCACTCTTGTACCAGCTTCATCCAAAGGTCACCTGCTGGCAGAAGGGGAGCCCAGGTGGAACTGACATGGGAAAGATGGTGACCGGCTGGCTGGATTCCGGTTTAGCTGGTTTCTGTCTAAGTAAACACATCGTGGGGGATTCCAGCTGGTCTCCAGAAGGCAGTGAAATGTACCGGGCCATCCCCAAGCGACCTGGGTCTGAGCACAAAGGGTCATTTTGCCTCTCCCAAAGGAGGGCTGAAAAAGAGCAGCAAAGATGGGGGCGGG